CGAAACGTCAGTCTCTCTGCTCCTATGATGCTGCTTGGCCTGCTGTGTTCATCCAGCCCTGCACCTTGTTGTCTCGGATTCTCCAGCATCTGCAGTTCCTACTATCTCTCTCACCTAGAAACTGATATTCATTTCAAGCCCACCGACTCCCACAGCTACCTAGAATACTCCTCCTCCCACCCACCTTCCTGCAAAAATGCCATCCCCTATTCCCAATTCCTTCGCCTCCGTCGCATCTGCTCCCAGGATGAGGCATTCCACTCCCGTACATCTCAGATGTCCTCGTTTTTCAAGGACTGTAACTTCCCCCCCTCAGTGGTCGAGAACGCCCTCAACCGTGTCTCCCACATTTCCTGCAACTCATCCCTCACACCCCTTCCATGCAATAAGAACCAAAAAAGAATCCCCCTCGTCCTCACATACCACCCCACCAACCTCCGGATCCAACGCATCATCCTCCGACACTTCCGCCATCTGCAATCCGATCCCACTACCAAAGACATCTTTCCCTCCCCACCCTTATCTGCTTTCCAGAGGGACCACTCTCTCCGTGACTCCCTTGTCCGTTCCACACTCCCCTCCAGACCAACCACACCCGGCACTTTTCCCTGCAACCGCAGGAAGTGCTACACCTGCCCCCATACCTCCTCCCTCACCCCAATCCTAGGCCCCAAGAAGACCTTCCACATCAAGCAGATGTTCACCTGCACATCTGCCAATGTGGTATACTGCATCTGTTGTACCCGTTGTGGCCTCCTCTACATCGGGGAAACCAAGCGGAGGCTCGGGGACCGCTTTGCAGAACACCTACGCTCGGTTCGCAATAAACAACTGCACCTCCCAGTTGTGAATCATTTCAACTCCCCCTCCCATTCCTCAGACAACATGTCCATCCTGGGCCTCCTGCAGTGCCACAACGATGCCACCCGAAGGTTGCAGGAACAGCAACTCATATTCCGCTTGGGAACCCTGCAGCCCAATGGTATCAATGTGGATTTCACAAGCTTCAAAATCTCCCCTCCCCCTACCGCATCCCAAAACCAGTCCAGCTCGTCCCCGCCTCCCTAACCTGTTCTTCCTCCCACCTATCCCCTCCTCCCACCTCAAGCCGCACCCCCATCTCCTACCTACTAACCTCATCCCGCCCCCTTGACCTGTCCGTCCTCCCTGGACTGACCTATCCCCTCCCTAACTCCCCACCTACACTCACCTTTACTGGCTCCATCCCCGCCTCTGCGACCTGTTTGTTTCCTCTCCACCTATCATCTCCCCTATCCATCTTCTATCTGCCTCCCACTCTCTCCCTATTTATTTCAGAACCCCCTTCCCCTCCCCCATTTCTGATGAAGGGTCTAGGCCCGAAACGTCAGCCTTTCTGCTCCTGTGATGCTGCTTGGCCTGCTGTGTTCATCCAGCTCTGCACCTTGTAGCCTAGCCAGGAGACCTGGGTTCAAGTCATACCAGTGTAATAGCATCTCTAAATACTTTGATCAGTAAATATCTAATACATGATACATTTATTCATGCCATGGTAAATGTCATGAAATTTTTTCTAATTCGTATACCCTCACTAAATTTGGAAATACGCAACCAAATCAGACGCAGCATTAACAGGCTACTGTAACAGTACAATATATTACATTGCATTGTGTTGCCATAGTCTTACCAGATCATAGGACTGCTCTCTCATTAGAGATGATTGGTGGTGATTTAACCTGAGGGCCACCATACCTCAGATGAGGGGAGAGGTTGAGAACGAGAGTTCTTCATGATAAACTCAGCCAGTGATGGGAATTGAACCCAAGCTGTTGGCATCGTACTGAGCTAACCTGACCCCTGCACAATATATTATCAACCCCAAGGCACTTGTAGTTTTCCAAGCAAGATACTCCTCATTTCAGCCCTACCACTGAAGGGAGGAGAGAAATCTTTCCCTCAAGTAGAGATAATAGTAGGGGAACAGCTAGGCATTAGTGCTAATTATATTATGCTTCAAGATTTTAAATGGGAAGACCGTAAGTGTGGCAAAAATCAGGATAACAGATTGAAGATAAGCTGAGTTTGAGGGGTCATGAGTAGAACTTGGAAAAATCGTATGGACAACAATATTGACATACAACACGAACTGGAAACGTACATTGACAGAGTTCAAAAAAATGAACAAACTCGTCACTAATTATGTATCATGGTGGGACATAACAGTAAAGTTAATGGTAATGAAAATATACGCAGCAGATAAATGATAAGGAAGCGTGATATTGGAGAATACAAAGAAATTAGGAAGTAAAAATAACAATTAGGCAGGTCAACAAGAACTGTGAAATAAATTTTCATAGATAATGTTTAATTTTGAAGACTGTAAATATATAGCTTCGTCATATGGAAAGAGTAAAGAAAGAACAAACTTGTCTCACAGTAAAAAATTAGCTAGCTCAGGGGAAGTCGACTGTTCAACAGCTCAAAATTGAGCTGGAGCAGGTTGATCACTTGTTCTGGTCTGATCTTCAGAGAAATCCATGTGAAATGGTTTACTTGTGATTGTAAGCATATAGGTAATATTTTAAGTTTTTTTTTGTAGTGTCCAATGTAGTAACCAATGTCTAACAAAGACATTGGTTAGATTCCATTGTTAGAACTGCCTTGGGTTGTTGATACCCAGAGTAAACCTGAAGGACTAGAGTCAGTGGGAATTAAGGCCTACACACTGAAGGTGTGAAAATACTTGACAAGTACCTTTCCTCAGCTGGCTACTATCTTAATCATAGACCGTTGGCTCTCGTGTGTTTTTAATGGGCTCTAATAATCCTGCACCAAGGAAAATGGAAATCTGATTTTCATTCCCCTATTCAAGATGGAGAATTAAAACTCACTGGGGGTGAGTGTGCATTTTGCACTGTGGTCAGACATTTCCCATCAAGGTAGGCAATTTGAGTAAGGAAATTTCCCAATGTGAGAGACTACCTCAGTTTAAAATATCGTCTGGCCACACTCAATTTTTGCTCTGAGGAATGGTTGCATGTCAGACTCATACCTACCAACTTTGGAAGCAGATCCTAGGCAGCCTTGGGAGTGGAGTTGATAACCCCACTGTTTAGAGTTATACCTGGTCCAAAGGAAGATGGTTGTGATTGTGGAAGGTCAGACTTTTCAGTTACAGAAATCTCTTTTGGCCGTACTCCGGGTAGTGTTCAAGGTTCAACCATCTTCAGCTGCTTCATCAATGAACTTCCTTCCATCATAAGATCAGAAATGAACAGATTCACCGATGATCGCAGATTCCTCAGATTTTGAAACAGTCCATGTCCAACTGCAGCAAGACCTGGACAATATCCAGGCTTTGGCTGACAAGTGGCAAATAACATCGTGCCACACAAATATCAGGTAATGGCCATATTAACCAGAGAGAAACTAAACATCGCTCCTTGACATTCCATGACATCACCATCACTGAATACCCCACTATCAACATCCCGATTACTGTTGAGCAGAAACTAAACTGGACTAGCCATATTAATACATTGGTTAAAAAAGCAGAGCAGGCCAGAAGCTAGGAATTGTATAGTGAGTACCTCCTCTCAATTTCCCCAAAAATCTGTCCATGATCTACAAGGCAAATGTCAGGAGCATGATGAAATTCTCCAGAATAATGTGCAGCTCCAACAACACTCATGAAGCTTGATGCCACGCAAGATAAAGCAGCCTGCTTGATTATCACCATATCAACAAACATCCATTCCCTCCACCATTGATGCTCAGTAGCAGCAGTGTGTACCATCTACAAGATGCACTGCAGAAATTCATCAATGCTCCTTGCAGAGCACTTTCTGAACCCATGACCACTTTCATCTAGAAGGACAAGGGCATTAGACACATGGAAACAGAACAACCTGCAAGTTCCCTCCATGCCTCTCACTATCCTGACTTGGAAATATATTGCTGTCACTGGTCCTGGGTTAAAATCCTGAAATTCCTCTCTAATGGGATTGTGCACCACCAAAACAAAATTGTTTGCAATGGTACAAGGCATGAACTCACCACCACCCTCTCAAGGGCAACCAGGAATGGCCAGTAAATACTGACCCCATCGGGAACACCCACATTCCACCATTTTTTTAAAAATCACCTCTACGGAATTTATGTGCTCCAATCTCCTATTTCTATGTTCATTAACACATGACATTGGGAATAATCTGGACAGTACATCCTCTAGATTCCTGCTTTTTAATGTTTTTCCCAATTCCTTAAACTCTACCTTCAGGACCTCATCCCTTTTCCTACCTATGTCCTTGCTTCCAAATATGGATCACAACCTCTTTTTGTGCACCCACCCATTCCAGAATGATCCACAACTGCTCAGTGACATTCATGACCCTGGCACCAGAGAAGTAACATACTATCCTGAATTCATGACATGCAGCCACAAAACACCTAACTGTTCTCCTAATTTTAGAAGACCTTGTCACTATTCCTACGCCAATCTTCCGTGTACTGCCCTGCACAGTTGAGCTACTCATGGTCCCATCCACCCAGCTCTGGTTGCACAGCCCCAGATAAACAATCAACCTCATCAGTATTCGGAACTGAGTACAGGCTGGTGAGTAAGATGAACTCAGAGGACTCCTACACTATCTGCTTGTTTCTTTTTGACCCATTCACTGTCTCCCTATGTACTCTTAAGCTATGGGGTAGCCACAGCTATAAACATACTGTCAATGTACCTCTCAACCTTAAGGATGCACAGTGGCACTAGCAGTTGCTCAAGCTGCAGCTGACAATACTTCCTACACAAATCATTAAGCAAGACACAAGAATAAACCTGCAGCTCCCACACTACATGGAATGTACACTCTCAAGCTAGGAGCCATCCTGTCTTTACCTTACTTACTAACTAATAACTTTGTTACTGCTACACCCTACAGAATGGAACTGTTGCCTTGTTGTATGTCAACTAAGAATATTTCCATTTACTTTAGTTCTGATGTAAAACCTTAGTGACTAACCTGAGTCTCGAGGTGGAGATGGACACATCGCTATCTGAATAGGATCACTGCTCACTGGTGATGCAGATACACTTTCCTGTGCTGGGGATTGGATTATTTGGACTAATGGAATGCAAAATGATCCTTTTGTGTTTGAAGAATTTTCATTAGCAGAAGAGCCAGAGAACTGAAAAGCAGTTGCGTTGATCCCTGGAGACAAGGCTGCAGAGAGACTAGTCAATGGAGATGAGAATCCTATCGGCAAAGTAAAACCTGCAGTAAATACAAATTGACATTACAGAAAGAAAAAGAGTTGCATTTATATAACAACCTTCATGAGCTTAGGTCATCACAATGTACATCTGAGCAAGTAAAATATTTTTGACATATCATAGGGTACTGAAACAAACTTGCATTTTTTTTTCACTGGCCGGTTGAAAGTTGGGTGGAGATCTGATAGACCTTTTAAAAATTTACAGGCTTTGTAAGGTGGAAGCTGGAAGATATTTTCATATAGGAGCCTATTACGAAATGCTTTACCACAAGTGACTACTACAGTAGAACCTCTAATATAATTTTTCTATTATTTGTAAACAAAGAATATAAAAGGGGATCAGACCATAGAGCTCAAGTTGAAGATAGAATGGGCTGAATGGTCTAAAAGCTGGAATTCCAAAATTCCACATGTTTCAGTCAATTTGCTCTACTAATTCTGCATGACAATGAATGCAAAGTATGAAATCTTCAGAGACCGTGGCATTAAACACCCAAATTCATTCTGATGATATGACTCCAACTAACGATAATACTGGATAGGTCAGATCCCACATTGAAACTTGGCTTAATGAGTCTTAAGTTTAAATTTTACAGTTGGTTGCTGTGAAAATTAATTACTGAACATATTTACAAGGGCTGCTCCTGATTCTTAATAAAATAACACAAAAGAAAAGAAGATAAAGCTATGTATATGGTTTAGAGAGATGTTAACATAAACAGCAAAAACAAATTTTCATCTTTTGTCCCAGCAATTGCATTAACAGATGTGCAACCCATTGAAATATCATTCCCATTATAACTATTTAATTTCTTAGTTAATTGATTCCAGTTTTGAAGGTCTAGAATCATCTTTCCAGTTCTGATGGTCTAAGCATCTTTTAATTTCTGAGAGCTTGAGAATTTCTCTATAAACTCGCACTGTTTGAGGCTTCAAAAAGTTAATCTCCTCTTCTGCTAGGGTGTAACTGTTTGTTCTGGACTGAATTCAAACTATTCGTGGCCTGTGTTCTGTTTTCTCTACGTTATAAAAAGTGTTCCCTTTATTGTTTTCTTTTACATAGACCCCCAACGTCCACGTGCGGCAGCAACTTCTGTAACCATTAAGTCAATGCTTGAACAGCATTGGTTAATCAATTACCATGCGCAGACCCTCGGAGCAGCTGTACCCACAGCCGTGCAGCTTGAGGGAGGTGGTAATTATAATCAATTAGCATCACATGTTAGTGTCCTGCTAAGCATTTAACATAAGTCATAATGACTTTTTGGAAATTATGTATTAGTTCACTGTTCCAAATTATTTTCTGTCTTTAAAAAAAAAGTTACCTTTATGGAAATGAAACTACAAATTGATTTCACCTCCAGTTTAAAATTTAAATTGCAAATTATAATATTTTACCTTATCACACCAAGCATTTGAAACACTACTTCAAAACCTCTACTTTGTGTTCAATGTCTGATGGCAACATGGACCTTATTGCTTGATTATTGTTTATGGATATATAGTTTCATAGTTTCATTAGCCAAAGATTAGATTGAAGAAGACAATAGAGACCAGTAACAAAAACAGAAATTGCTAGAGAAACTCAGCAAGTCTGGCAGCATCTGTGGAAAGAGGAACACAGTTAATGTTTTGAGTCCAGTGACCCTTCGTCAGAACACCTTGAGAATAACAGTAACTGATGTACTCTTGCATTTTCATTTTATGAACATTGCATTCTTTATTTCTGTTTACACAAGAAAGTGAGTAGCATTGGGAATTATATTCCAATCGCTAAGTGGAACTACCAAAATAATGCTACCAAATTATTCAAAGCATGATGTATATTTCATAACTGTACTATCAAATTTCACTTTTAGAGAAAAAAAGGAATTTCAGTGGCATCTTCTGATTGTTCTCCATAAGAATACATAAATATAACTGATAGTTTACCTGCTTGATAACTTTACTGCTTTTAAATCTCCTTGACCAAGTGACAGAAGGAAACTGATCATGGGAAAAGAGAGATTCCTGCCACAGATATTGTGAGATCCTATCTTCAAGGTTAGTAGGGAATAGCATTACTGCTGATTACAAAGTCCAGTATTACATGTATCTGTACTGATTCCAATTTGAACAGGAAGAGTATGGATGGAAAGAATCAACATTTACACACTTCCTGAGACAGAATCTTCACTACTCAGTTGTAGACAACCAGAAAGACAGATTTAAAGTAATTAACAAAAGAACCCGAAGGGTAAATGCGACTTCTTATGTAGTCAGTTGTTAGGATCTAGAAATGTTGAAGTTTGTGCCTGAAAGCTTTCTGGAAGTAGATTCAACAATAGCTCTCAAAAGGATAGCTAATGGATCTGGAAATATTCTCAGAACTATAGACAAAGGACTTGGGGAGTAGAACTAATCAGATTGTTCTATCAAAGAGCCAGTATAGGTGCAATGTGTCAAATGGCCCCCTTCTGTGCTAAACTATTTTATGATTGTCTGAGAGCAAACGTGATCTTTCCAACAAGCATTAGTGGAAGAAATAATTCAAGAAACACATTGTTTTTTCAAAAGACTTTCTTAGCCACTGCCAAATTTGGTGACCATAGAAATGTAACCTGGACACTCACAGCCCAGTAAAGTTTCTGAACTCCTGCATTCAACAATAAACAAGCAAACACAGCAATTCAAAGTACAATGCTCTCAAAACTTACATTTTAAGACCAGCAATGCAATATTCAAAGTAATTCAAAGTATCTAACTTGGATAGCTATAGCTATTCTGTGAATACATAGAAATTTTATGATTAATTTTTAAACTACCTCTTTATCCCTTTGCTACACTTTGTGTTCCCCTGAATAAAATGTGCAAAACATGCCTAGACATGTCACTGACTACATTTCAAACATTAAATGGAAATCTCCCAGGTTACATGTTTAATACATCTTAATGTAAAAGTTAGCTTCTGGTTATCGAAATGAATCTAAATCCTCAAAAATCTTAAAACACACTGATACCACTATTCTGTTGCTGAGACAGAACAAAAGGGATATTACAAACAGGATTAACTTAATAAAGGTTGGCATGTGGGACTAAGTTTGCTGTGCTTTGCAACTGATGAATGATTTGTTCCTGACACAAAGCAGAAGGGAAAGGATATAGACAAAAGCTGGTCCACCATCCTTTCTACAATTCCTTCAGGTGTTTGAGGGGAGAAATTGAATAAGACTTGAAAACAGGAAGCTTCATGTTACCAGAGATAACAAGGTGTAGAGCTGGATGAACACAGCAGGCCAAGCAGCATCATAGGAGCAGGAAGGCTGACGTTTCGGGCCTAGACCCTTCGTGTTACCAGCCCATTTGTATGATAATAGCATGCAGTCCAGTGTGAAATGCATTAGGTTGCATATCTTTGCAGAGGGCCTAAGTTTTTGCAAGACTGACATCACCTAAAGCTGTGCTGCACTGATAAATGTTTCAGAGATACTTTGAAGAAGGGTCTAGGCCCGAAACGTCAGCTTTCCTGCTCCTCTGATGATGCTTGGCCTGCTGTGTTCATCCAGCTCTATGTTATCTGCACTGATAAATGTCAGCATCTTCTCCTCAAAGGCAAGTACAATCAGTTTTTGCAGCAGGTACCCAAAGTGACTGCAGAAGACTTACTCAGAATGTTAACGTTTCGGTTGGGCAAACAGCAGTGGGAGAGGCTACCCATTGCTATAATACAACAGACAGGATTTTCCAACAGAGGTCAGAGTAACAAGAATGGTCACAAATTCATGTCAACAACATACATGGTTGGAAAGTGAGAATTGCTTTCTTTGGAGTAAGATTAGGCCATTCCACTTCTTGAGCTTGCTTTGCCCTTCAATAAGATCATGGTTGATCCATTATAACCTGAAATCCATATTCCTGCCTACTACTGATAATCTCCAGTCTGGACCAACAGTCACTGTTAACTCTGAGATAACAAGGTATAGAGCTGGATGAACACAGCAGGCCAAACAGCATCAGAGGAGCAGGAAGGCTGACGTGGCCCGAAACATTGTTATCTCAGATTCTCCAACATCTGCAGTTCCTGCTAACTTTGTTAACTCTTCTTCTTTCAATATTTATAGAAATACTTACCATGTTTTTATATTTCTGTTGGCTTTCTTTCACACTCTACTTTTTCATTTTTAGGTTTTTTTTGTTTTATATTCTGTTCAATCCTCTCACCTACCACCTGCCTTTGTATAAAATATATGTTTTTTTCTTAAAGTCTGAAACAATCTTTAACATTTCTCATTAACTACAGATGGCAGGTCCTTTGCAGGAATTTTTTTCTTACTTATTGGAATATATCTATTCTGTATATTCTGAAATGTGTCCTTAAATGTCTGCCACTGCAGCTTTTTGACCTATCCTTTAACATATTTTGCCAATTCACTTTAACCAGCTCTGATTTCATGCTTTCATAATTGCCTTTATGTTTTTTAAAAATAGTCTCAGACCTATTCTGCTCTCCTTCAAACTGAAGGTAAATTTCAATCATATTAAGGAACTCTACTGGGATAACCTGACATTCCTAAATGTAACATTCTCACGTCATTCAAAACATGTTGAGCTCTTTTACTTTTTTAAATTAGGTTAGGTAACTATAAAATGTGCCATTTATATTCCATCTGCTGTAGTTTTGCCCACTCACTATCTATCTATGTCCCTCTTCAGCCTTATTATGTCTTCCTCATTGCTTACTTTGCCAACAAATGTTGTATTGTCTGTGAACCTGGGATATAGTGCTGGTCCTATCTGAAGTCATAGCCTGGGGCAGGGCTGTAAACATTGAAAATGACTGTGTCCACCTTTGCCTATCCCACTCTCTGGAACAGTTCATTCATGATAGGTAAACATATGGGCAGGATCGACATGTGGTGATTAACTTACAGGAGTGACCTACAACTGGGGTGAAAGAACCACAAAGGTACCAACTCCATGGGGTGGGGTTGACTGTGCACAATTTCTGCTGTAGAGGATG